TTAATAATTTTCTTTCTAATAATAATAATCATAGGAAGAAGAAAGTATATAGTTTCCCTTGCTGTGTATTTATTCACCACTCTGCATTTAATGATCAGTTATTAATAATCTCGGGGCCCAACCAGTCACGGCTAATGTCCGTCCCTCTATGAACCTGGTTATGCTGAAGGTTTCTTCCTGTTAAAAGGTAGTTTTTCTTTCTTTCTTTTATTTTATGTTCTTCAAGTTTATGGAGCATTTATGCAGCATACACCAAAAAAAAATACAGACCTTAACTAATTTAATTACATGTACATTTCCCATCTAGCATACACGCAATTTAAAATATTAAATCTGGTCGAATGAAATGTACTTGATTGATATATATTTAGTTTATAGCAGGGGTGATTAATTATTTACTAAATAAACATTTTATTTTACGTATTTCAACTGCATTTTACTCAAAATTATTGCTTAATGGTGGATGGTGAAATTAAGGTGAATTTTTTTCTTCTTTTCTTTCTTTTTCATGCTCGTTTCGGAACGGTTTCGGATGTAGACGTCAATGCATGGCGCCACCAGTGACGCAATGACGTCGACAGGAAGAGAGGCGGTAGTGGTAGTAATATTCACACAGGTAGAAAACTGAGAATGCCCGTGCAGAGCCGCCCCGTGCGGGACTCCTCCGTACATTTCAGGTTACTCCAGCAGTACCTGGTCCTCCTGAAGAAATACCCCATCCTGACTAAATCTGTAACCAGGTCAGTACACGTCGCGTTTCTGCACTTTGACAGTGTTGCAAGTTAGAAGCTCCCATTTACTGACAGCCAAACCACTGTACTGTAGTCAGGTTTCTTGGGACGTTTATTACACTGTAACTAAGAAAAGTGTTTTTATCAGTGTTTTGTTTCCTGCTCGTCTTCAGGTCTTTTAAGACTTTGTTTGCATTGAACGCACACTCATTTTGTCACAGCACTGCTTTTAGCCAATCAGCATCTGTCCTGAAAACCTCTCCCACTAAGTCTTTTGCAAGTGGACTATTGATACTTATTGACAGTTGTGTGTGTGTGTGTGTGTCCTTTGTATTTTCAGTGGCATCCTCTCTGCTTTAGGAAACCTTCTGTCTCAGTTTGTGGAGGCGAGAAAAAAAGCCCAGAAGGGAGCTCCTGTCAGTAATATCGATGCAGCTGGAGCTGCACGCTATGCCATTTATGGGTGAGATCCAGTAAAGAAAGCAGACTGAGCACTGACTTGTTTTAAGGCTGCAGGTCTGTGATTGTGATGTTGTTCCAGTTAGACTCTGATAAAACGAATCGAACACTGTCCAATGTTATTGGTGTCTGTGATAACACAGTTATGTGATAACATTTAGATGTTCTTCTGCTATTCATATTTGCCCTTGTTGTGTGTTTCAGGTTGCTTATTACAGGACCCGTGAGCCACTTGTTTTACCAGCTGATGGAAGTATGGATTCCCACCACAGATCGGTTTTGTGTAGTCAAACGTCTGCTGCTGGACCGGCTTATTTTTGCCCCGGGCTTTCTGCTCCTTTTCTACTTTGTAATGAACATCCTGGAGGTGGGTCATCTCAGACACCATTGCTTTCAAATTAGCTCAGTATAGAGGGACACCTGCTCTCTAATGCAAAAAAAGTCATGTCAAAACTGAGGCAGCAGAGGCCCTCACCTCATTTAATTATTTCTTAATTTATCAAAACAGCTCACACAACTTAGGAGTCCAGTTTTACTTTTTCATTGCACTGGAATGGTGTTTAAGCGTAGTTGTTGTGGTTCAATGAACAACAATTTATTATGCAAAAAAAAAAATCAAAGTATATGTCACATTTGAGATTTCTAGAACTTATACACACCATTGCCAGTATCTTAACAAGCTTTAATGCCATACATATGTCCTAACATTGGACTGGCACTATGATGCTACTATTGAGCTGGATCTACTTTTGTCTTCAGAACTGTCTTGATTTTTTTTATGGCACAGAAGGTGCCGGAGACATTCCTCAGAGATTTTTGTCTGTAGTGACATGATGGCATCGCACAGATTCTGCAGATTTGTTGGTTGCATGTCTCCAATTCCACTGCATCCCATAGGTGCTCTATTCGATTGAGATCTGGTGATTGTGGAGGCCATTTGAGTACAGTGAATTCATTTTCATGCTCATCTGACACCAAGAACCTGGCAAAGTACCCGATTCAACCTGGACATTTACCATAGTATTAATTATCATGTCCACGATATAAAGATTTTATATATAAGCATGTAATATGACTGTAACCACTGTCCCTTAGGCTAAAGGATGGACTGATTTTGAAAAGAAGATGAGAAGAAGTTATTGGACCGCTTTGAAGATGAACTGGAAAGTTTGGACCCCTTTCCAGTTCATAAACATCAACTTTGTCCCTGTTCAGGTACACATTTCACTTCATTTCATCAGACAATGAGTTATTTTCTGTCGCCACATGTAATTAATTTCTTCGCGCCTTCTGTTTCTGTGTACATTTCTGGTTTCAGTTCCGAGTGCTGTTTGCCAACATGATCGCCTTATTTTGGTATGCCTACCTTGCATCTGTGAGAAAATGATGCTACCAAGACGTCTCTAGAGAAAACACATCTTCAGGAAACAGTTTTGGCATATTTGTAAATGCCTAAAAACCGAGATCGTACAACAGACTGTTACGTTTACTGCCGTAAATCTGTGCCTAATCTGGTCACTAATTTTCACATACACAAGCAATTAAATTTAAAGTGGACTGAAACCATTACCACTTGTTGCTGTAACATTTTAAATACTAGACTTGAAATTTATATTTTAACAGTGTAAGATCTAATAAACTATAACTTTATATGACTGAGAGTCTCTCATAAACATTGAGAATGACAGCCCCACCTTCCTGAGCTGACACAGGCAGAGGAAATGTGAAGAGACGTAGGCTCCTGTTGTTAACTTTATTCTTTGTAATACGTACAGTTAACATGTATTTGTCATGACAGAATCACCAACGTGTTGATTTGTATGAGTTACTTATCTGTTGTGCCAAAAGAAAACACAGATTTGCAAACTGGTTAATGAACCCATATTGTACGGTCTATGGGAATGTTCTTGTTTTTCCAAAATAAAAGCACTAATAAATATGATAAATGAGATAAGTCAAGCTTATAATATTAAATAACATACATGGGTTTTCTGAACCATTTTAAAGTGTCCTCAGCCTCCTGTCAGGTGCAAAGTCATGCAGATGGTGCTGTGGTTTCTGACGTTGTAGTCCTCCAGTTTGCCATCCTGCATCTCCCGGCCTTGGTGAATGAGCCTCTGCTGGCTCGCTGGCACCCCCTCTCTTTTCTCGACTCTGTTCTTGAAGTTGCTCACAGTCTCGCCGGGTTGGATGTCATAGGTGCTCAGCTGTCCCTTATCATTTCTGTGGCACAAGGACTGTTACAGATGAACCTGCATACTGGGTTTTGCTGGGTAATATGACCAAGATACAGCCAGAGGTTGGCCATAAGATAGACTTCTCCTCTTCAGCTGCCCAAAAAAGGCTCTCAATCAAAACATAAACAGACCATCTGTAGTGACAGGTAAAAGAAGCCGTCCTCAAAACAGAAAAATTCCACCTGCTACTGTGGAGGAGTTGGATCAACTGATGGGAAAATATTTTTCAAAGCATAGTTCTGTTCTGAATAGCCCATAATGTTTTAATTTAGGGGGGGGGGCTGTAAATAATTTGCATTTACTGATTATGTACTTACTAATTACCACTGTTCAAAAGTTGAATAAAGAAAAAATCATATGTTTACCTATTTTTAATTAAAACCACTTTATAGAACATCACATCAGTTACAATGTAGAATCAGTGTCATGTATAGTTTACAAATGACAAAATGTTCACATAAAATGATGACAGCATTTATATAATATCACCCACTACTATCATTCTGTAATTTACTGTCTCTTTTGAAAATGTATCACTGCATATACAGCACAAGACTTTTAGGAGTATTTAACAAGAGCATTTCCCCTGGTTTTACTAACACACTGGGGCACATGTTCACCAAAACGCAGCAAACCTTTGCCATCTTATCCAGGAGGGTCACCTTTTCACCCTCACATGGAAGAAGTAATCTGATTGGCATGGTGTTAGCATGTAGTATGTACAGTATGTAGCATGTACAAAGATTTCGTAGTGCCCCATGTGTAGTGTTGGAACCCAGTCAGGATTTGTTTCATTCATTTCATAGGCTGGTTTGCTGCAATAATGCCAAATAATTAGCAACTTTATAAATAAAGGTAGTTCTTCATGTTTGTTCTAATTTGCTATGACCTCAGAGCGCATTGAAAATAAAAAGAGTAATATGAACTTATTTAGAACTTACCAGAATGAAAATACTGAAGCACACCAACAGATATATGTGGATGGTAGAGAACTGAATATCAGCTCGTCTCACAGCTGCTATCCAGGCTAGACGCCTTCTTATGGTAACATCCAACACATAAGCTCCCTCATGACGCTTCCAGGTGAGGAAACAATGAAAAGAGAGCCCGTTTTCAAGCTTATTCCTTTACTGGTAGTGCAATCTAACATTACAACCGACCACACAGCAAGCATTTGTTTGGCCTGCTAATATGGCGCCTCAACCAAAAATCCTGGCCACGCCCCATCCGGTAAGATCACGCTCCAGAGCCCTATTAACGTACGGATCTAGAAAGAAGACGCTGCATTTTTAACTCTGAGGGAGATGGAGAATGAGCCTATTTCCAAAAAAAAGTGGAGTCTGTTCCTTTAAGTACTATATTGTATATATTGTCAAAAACTAAAGTGTACATAGCAGTTGTTGCATCTTGTTTACTGTATCACTGACAGATAATTTCAAAGTCAAGTGAACGCTACATTATAGTGAGATATTGTGTAATGTGAAATACTGTAAGCAAATAAATAAACTGCCTAATTCTTGCTAAACCTTTGACTCTGTTTTTTTTTATCCAACTGTTTTGCAGATGAACATAAAACATGTTGTTACTTTTAGTATTATTATTATCATCATCATCATTGTTGCACTAAATACATTTTAAATAAAGGATACTTTGATATTAACTGATTAATAAATTAATAGATTAATTGATTATCTGCCATTACTACCTCCTGCCACGCAGATGAAAAACAAAACACTTTCTGTGTGATAACTGAAAGTGTTTTGTAATAACTGTCTTTCACTTACAGCACAAAGCAGAATTGAAGTGTACTGTTCAAACACAGGGATTTTAAGTGGCACCACAGTGGGTTAAAACAAACAACAAACAAACATTAAAAAAAGACATGTCGGTTTTTCCTGTGACTTTCATATTGTGGACAGTTAGAGCAAGGAATGCCAATTTCTCATGGTGAATCTTCAAAGACAGAGCAGAGTGGGTCTGCTTCAGTGGTGCACTGATCAGGTGATGAAAGCTGAACTTGTGTGAATTTCACTGTAAAACCTCAGATGAGCAATGTTCTGCCTGTAAAACATTGGTTTGATGTGTAATCCACACCAGGATTATTTATAATAAAAGCATTTTTTAAAATTGTGGATTTACTACTTTTCCTTGATTATTAAAGGACTACAACACCCAAACTAGTTATTACCTTTGCTTTAATTCTGAAATTTTGTTTTTATTATAGCGAAAGTAGTCTTCAGGAAAAGTTCTCCAGGCTTCTTGAAGGACATTCAATTCAATTCAATTCATTTCAATTGTATTTATATTGCACCAAATCAAAACAACAGTCGCCTCACAGCACTTTATATTGTACAGTAGATCGTACAATAATAGATACAGGGAAAAACCCAACAATCATATGA